GAAAAAACAAACGAGAGAATGAGGAATCTCTCAGAACACAAACATGCACGGCAACTAACTGGTAAGGAACTTGTTGGGACTGGAGAACTGATAGCCCTGTGTTTCGAGAGGAGGTCAGGAAAGGACCACTGCTTTCCAGATGCATTTGAATGTGAGGAACGTACTAAGAATAGGTGTTTCCACAGCCATTAGAATATTTGGCAAGAAGTGGCAATGGGTTCTTAAAAAATTAAGGCAACAAAAATAAATAAATAAATGTTTTCTCCAAAAATCATATAAAACAGAGGGAGGAAAAGGCTGAGAGAAATCCAATCATGGTTTACAACTTGGAAGGGCAGTGGACAGTTAGTGCACAGCCATAGCTGTGGAGGTTCAATGTGGATCTAACTTAATTGTGATATGATTTAATGGAGATGTTGGAGGACAGAATTCTCCACTATGGTCCAGGCAAGACCTCTGCTCCCTGCAACTATTCCTACTGTTGTAGAACATGACTTCAGCCCATAACTCTTTCTCCCCTTCCCACTGCATAAAGTCCAGGTAACCCAAACAATGGCTGATAACCTTTGCAAACAATTCCTCTGTTTTCTTTTTTAGAGTATTTTTAAAGATGTATTTATTTATTATGTATACAGTGTTCTGCCAGTGTTCAGGTCAGAAGAGGGGACCACATAGTTGTGATCCACCATGTGGTTGCTGGGAATTGAACTCGGGGCCTCTGGAAGAACTCTTAAGCCCTGAGTCATCTCTCCAACCCTGAAGACAATTCCTCAGTTTTCTAAAAGGTATTCTCGAACTGTATCTGAAGGCTCCAGAACTGTTTCAGGTACTTTGGCTAATGTCCTATAACAACATTTAGCTATCTTTCTCCAGACTAGATGCTGATAGAAGCTTTCATGCTGAGAGAGGAGGGGGGCAGGAGAGCACACGCCAGAGAGTATATGTGGAGGTCAGGGCCATCCAGAGGAGTTGGTTCTAGCTTTCCATCTTGTTTGAGGCAGGGTATCTTGTTTTGCCATTGTACTGTGTGTTGCGGACCCTAGGGCTTTCTGGGAATTCTCAGTCTCTGCCTGCCGCATCCTTCCATGGGGTTATAAACACATGCACCACCAGTTCTGACTTTATGTGGCTTCTGGGGATTGGAACTCAAGTCTCCAGGCCTACAGGTCAAGTGTTTCTGCCCACTGAGCCAATGTCCTTGGTCCCAACGTCTGTCATTATCAGATAAAGGTTTTACTAATGAGGATGTAGCTGAGTTTCATCTACAAACTGTATCACAAAAAATGGAGGAAGTGAGTTGGAAGGTGTAGAGCAAGAGAATTAAATCCTTACCCATAATAAGAGTAACTCAGTAGACTATGTCTAAAACTATTAAAATCAAAACCCAGCAACATAAGAAGATTATTTGGATATAGGAAGGTAAATGATCAAACTGCTAAAAACTACAGTGATTATATTTGGGGAGTATGAGTGTTATTATTACAATCTTTTAATGTGGTTTAAGTGATTAGAATTAAATGAACTTATTATTTTGATGACAAATTAAACACTATTTTGAAAGTTAAAAAAAGAATCTGCAATCGCATATTGAAAGTGTGTCTATAAATTCTCTCAACAAAATGATTCTAACTAATAATAAGTAGAAAATTTCCTGGTGTCTAAAGATTGATTCAGCAGGCATCTAGCCCAACAGACCCAGAGGAGAGAGAGCAGCAGCCTTGAACATCACTGAAACAGGGAGCAAAATGCACTGCCCTTCCCTGGGCACTCTAGATCCCCAGGGATTCTCTGAGTAGGTCACAGGACTTCTTTTTGCTAAATAGGATACCTAGCCCTTGCTTAGAAAATATCAGTAGTAGGAGCTGGAGACATGGCTCAGCGGTTAAGAGCATAATACTGCTCCTCCAGAGGACCTGAGTTCAGTTCCTAGTACCCACATCAGGAGGCTCACAACAACTCTAGGGCAACTGACCCTTCGGGCACCTGCACTCACACGCACACACCCTCAACACAAACAGACGTGTAAGTAAAAATAAAATAAATGTTTAATGTCAATGCTCTAGTCCAGAACAAAGAGCAGAATGCTTTTTAGATTCTGGTTATGTAACATGGCTTCCCTTCTGTGTGATCCTCTTTATCCTCAATGTTCTCTTCCACTCACTTTGCCCTGATCTGCTTTCTCCTCACTTAAGACTTTCCTTACAGCTTTTCTCTTTCCTCTGCCCTGAACTTCTCCACCGCCCCCTCCATCTCCCTCTCACCCGAATTTTCTTGACTGATACCCATCTTAAGCCTGCCAAGTGACTTACATTTTTGTTTCATTTTTCCCAGTTGGCTAGCTGAAATCATTTTGTCTTTCGACTGCAGATTGCCCCGCTGTACAACTGGTCAATATTCCGTCTTGCAGTGGCTGAGCTAACCTTGAAGCTATTCAAGGCAATTTAAGAACGAAACTGGACTTCATTCCGGCTGTTGACTGTTATCATAAGTGACTTGAACGTTTTCTTCTGAGATTTATAACCAATTCTAGAAAAATCAGACAATTCATGAAGGTTCTTTAACCCTAGAGAAAGAAGTACATGTTGAAGTTGAATTTAAGTGTGTGTGTGTGTGTGTGTGTGTGTACACTTGGGGTGGGGGGTTGAGATAGGGTTTCTCTGTGTAGCTTTGCGCCTTTCCTGGAACTCACTCTGTAGCTCTTGCTGGCCTCAAACTCACAGAGATCCTCCTGCCTCTGCCTCCCCAGTCTGGGATTAAAGGCCTGCGCCACCACCGCCCAGCTTTAAATCTATATTTTTCAGATCCCCCAAATGGCACTCTGTATGTGTCTGGAAACGTGACTTTACTCAGACACAATCTCTGTATTTTCCCTTTTAATACTGTAAGTCTAGAAGCTTTCAAAATTTCCATTCATATGCTACCGGTGTGTGAGATCGGTGCCTAGAAATCAAAGAAACCGTAGCTGTTGAAGAATTATATCTTGAACGGTACTGACATTTGCTGATGAAAGTGTTAAGTGAGGTGCCACTGTTTGTCCCAAATTAATCTTTCTGAACTAAAACCCTAAGGCTAAATGAGATCGTAGAGAGTTCTATAACCTATTTGTAATCATGACTGGGAAATTTAGGTTCATACAAACCTGTCTTTATTTTAAATGCAGCTTAAATAAGGAACAGCACACACTGGAGCCCAAAACCCCGGCCACATTTCTCCCTAACAGAAAAAGGCCTTTCTTGAAAGTTTTTCCAGGCTTACCACTTAATAGTGGTCAGTCCAAAAATAAATGCAGGAGAGCTTTACTGAGCACATTCGACAGCCCCACCAAACACCAATCTGTGGAGAGCAGGGCTCCGCTTCTCCCCCAGTAGCCTCTGCCAGGCCCCCCACCTACATTCTCCGGCTACTAATTAGAAAGCTAATTAGAATTCCAAATTTAACTGCTAAATACAGAGGCCGGTCTGAACCCAGGCCAGGACTCCTTGAGCATCAAACAGCTCCTCTGTCTTCTGTTAGTGTGGGAAGAGAACCGGACCCTCGGGAGTGATGGCCATTTGACTTGCTGGAGGGCAGTGTTTACTCTTTCTTGTCTGTGAGGGAAAGGTCTGAAGCACAGATTGAAATTTGAAGGGAAAAAAAAAAGCCAAAAACAAAAACAAAAAACCTTAAACCCCACAAAAACATGGCGTGAAGTTTACTCCAAGTAAAAGAAACGTATCTTTTTATGAATTCGGTTATTGCCGTGGCGACCGGAGGGGACATGTTCCCTTTAGGAACAGTTCCTGGTTCCAGCCAGGCAGCCTCTCTCTAAGTGCAGGGCGCCTTCTCTAGTTACCATGGCAACCAAAATTAGAAGGGCTTTTGCAACACTAACAGAAACCATCTCCTGAAGTGCTTCTGTGAATCACACCGAATGCTGATGATGCAAACTGTGTATACGGATTTTCAAACATTTTTTTAAAAAAAATTCCTTTTACGATAAACAAATACCCGTTTTTACATTCCCGTTTGAAATCGTAACTTGGAACAAATTTTTGTTCGTCTGGTTTTGTTTGTTTCCCTTTGGATGCCCCAGGCCCCATAGTGCAAACGCGATTTGTTTAATTTCCAAACTTGTCTGAATTACACCATGAGCATTTAGAATGTGATTCATTCGCCCTTATTTTGAGATGGGGTGGGGGAGGGTGGGTTTAACATAGAGCCCTCTTGTCTACACTCCGGAGTGGGGGAAACTGGAAAAGGGAGAGTAAGGGTGAGGAAGAGAGGAGGAGGAGGAGGAGGAGGAGGAGGAGGAGGAGGAGGAGGAGAGGAAAGGGGGGAAATCGATCTCTTGGTTCTCCGTCGGACTCTGTTGAGATCCCTTCCCGACTGGACCTCCAAGTCCTCTACCTCCATTGTGACAATCCCGGAGAGATACCCGGGAAGAGCAAGGAAGTTCCTCCTGACTTTGCTGGATCTTCCCAAAGCACCATTCTCTAGGGGAGGATTCTGGTGCGTGGTGTCCTTGAGGATTCGTGCCTCCTCCTTCCCCGGGCCACACCCGTGAGAAGTTGGGTCCACTGCTAACCCAGGTCACACAGGTGCTCAGTTCAGCCCTAGTCACAAACTTACAGATTTGGGCTGGCGCCTGCGGGCCAGAGAACCGGTGTGTGCACACGGGAGGCGCTCGGCTGCCCTCTGGCTCACGTGTGGGCACGCACGCAGACACGGGTGACCGCACCGTACCCACAGAGGGGTGCACACGAGCGCCCAGACCAGGGCCCTGCACACAGGGGTGGGAGCCCGCTCCCTGGTGCCAATGTCCCCATCTTCAGCTTGCTGATTGACCCGGTGGACGTCCCCAGGAGCGCTTAACCTTCTCCCTAACCCCACGCGGATCAGAACTTGTGTCTCCCTTTCTCCCTTGCGGTCCTGGAGAAGTGCCTCTTTCTAACCACGCACATCGGCAGCCTGGGGGTGGCGAGGCTGGGGCGACCCGGGCGCTGGCTCCGAGCCCCGCTTACCTCAGTCAGGAGGCCGCCTGGGGAGCTCGCTGTGCGGCCCGGCTAGGCGCGCAGAGTGGCAGGCGCTGGAGCAGGCTCGTGGGTGTCCCCGGGCGCAGACGTCTGGGTCTCTCTCTCTCTCTCTCCTAAGGCTCTGCGAGCCGTGATGAGCAGCAGATCTGACCCACAGGGCTGTGGCAAACCCCGCTGCCTGTCGGCTCCAGGCTCCGCCACCAGAGCCCAGTGCCCCTCAGCGTCCAGAACAGGACCAATCCCGAGCCGGGGGCTGGCTCTGGGGAGCCGGGAAAAGGAGACTGGATGGCCACCGCCGCGCGACGCTGGCCTGGACCTGGCAGGCTGGTTTCTATGGCAGCCAAGAGGGAGGAGCGGAAGGGAGGGGAGTGTGTAGTTGTGTGGCGGGAGGGGGTGGGGTGGGGTGGGGGGGACACCCACTGCAGATTTTCCGGGAGGGGGTTCGGGCCTGCTGCACAGTGTATCCCTCCTAGAGCGAGGGATGGGAAGCGGAGACGCAGCAGAAAGCGAGTCAACGGGAACACCTTGCCGAAACAGCTCCTGCGCGCTCCCGACCCAGCCTACCCATCCCTTGCCTCTAAATGACCGCGACACAACCCTGTAATCCTTCCAGCAGAGCAGGGGCTTCCAGCAAAGCACCGCGCGCGCGACAGACAGCTCCTCCGGGTGAGTCTGGCAGGGCTTAAGCTCTGCAGAAAGAGAAGCGCTCCTGTCACCCTCTGCCTGGATCCCTTGTACACCGCAGGCCTAGTTCTCATGGTGCGCGGCTACGTCCGGTGTCGCCTGTCGGCTCCCGGCTGTGATATGCTAGCTGGTGGTGGGTGCCACCTACTATTTCTCTAGTTTATGAATAAGGACGCCAAGCGACCGGATTGAGTGCAGAGCTGGGAATTTGACTCCGGGGTCACAGAACGTAGACGACAACTCCTGGAGTTAAAGTGCTTGATTTAAAAGAGGAGGAAACCGAGTTCAGAAAAATCAGTCAACTTAGCAAGAGTCTCGCACATGGTTTTAATGGCCAAGCCAGACCTGGGAGTCTTAAGTTCAGTTCCGTGAGCAATTTGTCCAAGTGTTCTTGCTGCCCACCCCAAGTATTCCTGAATGCCAGGGCAAAATTACAAGAATCAAAAGAATCTACAGCTAAAATCCTGATGAGGCAGAAATTAGGGGACCGGAAGTTTTTTGTTTTTAATTTTTTTCTCTTTGCCAGACACTGTATTAAATAATTTTACAGTTGAGCGCCTCACACCAATCTGAGTTAGGTTCTGGTATGACCATCCTGTTTTAGCAGAAAAAGAAACTGAAGCAAAGACAGACATAGGACCCACTCGACAGACAGACATAGGACCCACATGACAGACAGACATAGGACTCACTCGACAGACAGACATAGGACTCACTCGACGTCGCCAAGCTGCACGATGCTGGGGCCGGCTGGGACTCCAGATTTAGTCAAGGCCTTTCCTTCCTGCCTCCGCCTCCTGTGTGCTCCCCTTAAAGAGGTCAGTAACAGTGTGGCCAAGACAGAAAAACCTTGGACAGCTCCATGCACTGGCCATGCGCAGGGAAGCCAGGACCCCGGAAGGACTGCTTCCACAACTCTCTCCTCTGCTGGTGCAGGATAAAGATTCTCTGTCTACAAAACTAAGACTCTTAAAGTACTGCATGCCGCCACCAGCCTATTTTCTTTCTAAAACAATAAAATGAAAGATAAGTATCACATTAAAAAAAAAAAAAAAGATTTGAAGGGCCCCCTTGAGTCTCGAAACATGCCAGTACACAGATAACATTTTTTATGGGAAAATTATATAGAAAACCTGGACCCTCAAATCCCAGGCCAGACATACAGGCACAGTGGCAAAACCCTCACGCCATGCTCCCACACAGCAAGGAAAACGTAGAATCAGTCAGAAACTGCTTCTCAGTTGTGCTTGCCAGACTTCACTCCACCAGCCCCTTGCATTCTCAAAGTTCTTTGAGCTGTCATGCCAAAGCCTCCTCTTTCCAAATCAGACCCGTCTCTTCCCTTGGCATTCTGGGATTCCTCGGCCTCAGAAGAGGGGGACACATTTGATTCCCTTAACCTGAAAAAAAAAAAAAGTTTTCTCCTACAAAGTCCGTTCAGTAGTAGGGTGATTACACTACAATATGCAGAGCTCTGACTTTTTCTTTTCTTTAGCTGAAAATCAAACCCAGGGCCTTGCGCTTAAGCGCTCTACCACTGAGCTAAATCCCAACCCTTTTTTTTTTTTTTTTTTTAAGATAGCATCTTGGTGTGTAAGACAGACTGGACTTGAACTCAAGGAAATCCTCCATCCTCGGTCTCCCAAAGATTTGGGATGACAGGCATGTGCCACCACACCCAGCCTTTAGGAAGTTCAGGAAACATTTTGTACATAATGAGTGAGTGAGAAGTTTGAAAGAGAAAAGACAAGTCTTTGATGTGTGTCTGGAAATGCACCTCGATGCCGGGAATTGCCAGTGACCTGAAAGTTCTTCTTAACCTCTCCCAGGATTCTTTTTTTCTTTTCCTGCAATGGGCATATCCTTTATAAAAGTATTTGCTAGAAAAATAGTTTTCAAAAGATTTTGTGAAACGAAGCCCCTATTATCAATGTAGGCAGGTTCATGATTCTTGGGAAACTCAGTGAAATGTGGTTTCTAGGGGCTGGAGAGATGGCTCAGTGGTTAAGAGCACTGGCTGCCCTTCCAGGGAATTGGGGTTCAATTCCCAGCACCCACGTGGCAGCTCACACCTGTCTGTAATTCCCATCTCTAGGGTTTCTGACATCCCCACACAGAATACATGTAGGCAAAACACCAATGCACATAAGATAAAAATAACTTACACATTTTAAAAAAAGAAATGTGGTTTGTGACCATTTCTTCCCTGTGTCAGCTTGAAGTACAAGAGAACTGGGTTTTGCTTTAAGAAATACTGATAATGGCCGGGCAGCGGCGGGGGCACACACTTTTAATCCCAGCACTTGGGAGGCAGAGCCAGGCAGATCTCTGTGAGTTCGAGGCCAGCCTGGTCTACAGAGCAGGATTCAGGGCAGGCACCAAAACTACACAGAGAAACCCTGTCTTGAAAAACAAAACAAAACAAAACAAAAAAAAAAGGGAAAAAAGAAATACTGATGATGGCTAAAAGGTCAGCCTTTGGGGTCATAAAACTGTGTCTTGTCATCTAGCTCTACTCTACTAACTGGTGACACCTTTGATGTCAAGCTTCAGCTCCTGTCTGTAATCTCAGAACTGGAAGAATTGGTGAGATAACATCCCTAGCAACAATGAACTACATTTTATTAATCTGGCCAGGAAGCTTGGGAAGTTGGGGGTGGGGGTCAGTGGCTAAGTGGGCTACTTTCACCAGTGTGTAAGGAGTTGGGATCCAGGTGTGTTCAGAATTCTCTCTACTTGTTTGTGCGCTTGTTATTCAAGGAGAAATAGGGCCATTCTACTCTCATTTTCTGGTTATTAAGGCACCCAGGACACCACAGCCATACTGAATTTGAACCCCACCATTTTTGGGGGGGCACCCCACCTCTAGCTTTCCTTCCTCCTTCCCTATTTGGTGACACTTGACGGATCTTAGAAGAGAATGTGGACTTCTCCTTCAAGACTGTAAACTGTAATTACATAGTGAAATCTGCAGCTCAAGATGGTGCAGCCTGTCTGGGGAAATCTTGTTTCAGATCCGGGTACAACCCAAATCTGAGAAATTGCAAAATTCAACAGTATCTTTGAATGGAAACGACATTGTTTTAGTTTGGGCTGTATAGTCAATTGCCTTAGACTGTTCTTATCAATAGCTCTGCAGTTAGATGTCTGGGCTAAGGGTGCCAGCATGATCAAGTTCTGGAAATGGCAGTTTAATGGGCTGCAGACTACCGGCTTCTCATTGAATCCTCAGAGGCAGATCAGAGTCTCTTGTTTAACTTTATTCTCGTCTACAAGGTTAGCTCTACACTAATGACCTAATTATCTCCCAGAGGCCCTCCTCCTAATACCAGCAAATGAGGTACTGTGATTTCAATGCATGGACTGGGGTGTTTCTTTTTCCCCTCTCAGAATCTCCCGGTGGACATTAGATGTACCAGATCCTCTCCTTCTGTCGTGTCTTCTGTGGCCTTTTGTTTTTGTGTGACATTCTAGGTAACTGCTTCATATGCATCTTCTCTTTCTCTAATTATCACTTGAGTCATAGCTAGTCAGCCGCCCAGCCTGGCAGCCTTTGGTACTTGGAGAATGGAAATAGAGCTAAGCCCAGGAGGGAAGTGTCCAAGAACCTACTTCTGCATTTTCTCAGAAGGGAGACAACTGAGACGTAGAACTGAATCACTTTTTCATAAGAATTGGTATTTATGAATGCTGTTTGTTCTTTAACTTTACAAGAGCCTTTTAAGAATAGTGGGCCAGGCATGATGGTGCATTACTTTCATCTCAGCACTCCAGAGGCAGGGGCAGGCTGATCTCTGTGAGTTCAAGACCAGCCTAGTCTACAGAGCAAGTTCCAGGCCAGCCAAGGCTACAAGGAGAGGCCCTATCTTGAAAACAAAACAACAAAATCCTAGCATTGCTGTAGTAATGAGGCATTTATCTGAAGTGTACCATAATTTTGTTTCTTTAAAAATTTAATTAATTTTGCTTATTTGGGGAGCAGCAGTTCTGCGTGCCATGGTGCGCACATGGAAGTTCAAGGGTAGCTTCTAGGAGTCAGTTCTCTTCATCAATAGGCTAGGTGGTTCCTGAGGACTGAACTCAGGTGACCAGGCTGAGCCATCCTGCCAGCCCTGCTTTTCATTTTGTGATAGTCAAGTCCAAGCAAAATTCAACTGAAAGAATTCAAACAATTGCAGTAATCCTATTTCTACAAAGTTCTCCCCCTTTCTCTTCCCTCCTTCCTCCTTCTCCCAGAGAAATCTGGGATGATTTTCACCTAATGTTAACAAATTATTCCCCCCCCCCATTTTTTTTTTCAATACAAGGTTTCTCTGTGTAGCCCTGGCTGTCCTGGAACTCGCTCTGTAGACCAGGCTGACCTTGAACTTAGTGATCCACCTGTCTCTGCCTCCCCAGTGCTGGGATTAAAGGCTTGCGCCACCACCACCTGGCAACAAATTATTTCTGATCGATGGCTTTGGGTCGGTTTTAATTTTTTTTTTCTCATTCTAAACCATGTGACTTTTACTTTAGCAAACATAGTTCAACAACCACAAAAAGAAACAGTTGAGGGCATCAGTGACTAAGAGACCACTAACTCTTTGTCAGCTTTAATTTTACTGATATTCTAGGAATTCTTTTTTTTAAAAAACGTTTTGTGAGGGGTGGTGTATGTAAATGAAGAGGCCA